CCTAGTCACTGTACTGACTGAGCTACCTTGGCTCATAGCCTCTGTCTGTTACTACAGAATATTGCACTTTTATTCTGGACCGACGTGGCCGATCACTAGAGAACATTTTATCAGTTTCAGATGTAATGAAAGCTTCAAGTGTAAGACTTACCAACAAGTAAGAATGCAAAGCAAAGAAGAAAAAGATTGTGTATGCAGGAGAAATCAACTTCTTATCACAAAATATGTAACAATTAAAATATTTATCACTGTTCACCCATCTGTTGCTGTAAAATAAAAAGTGCATGAAAATATTTTGAAAGATCTAACACTGCACCATAGAGCAAGCATTTGCTCAAAGGCAAAATATCAACATGGCAATCATAAGTGCTTCATCAGGACTGAAGATACAACCTTTACTCTCACAACATGATAAAATCTCGAAACATAAATACAGGAATGCTGAATCATATGAAACAAAATTGTGATTCTGTTACGCCGAGTTGTTACGCTATCCTCGTAATTATACTATATGCGATACATCATTCTCCTGGGCTCCCTGGCTGATGTATACAGACTGAGAAAAATCATATATGCCCATGTTTACTACCCATAAAATCAAGATAAGCTGAATTAATATGAGCGATCCACATTTTGCCAACATAATTCTAACAAGCAACAGTAGATATGTGACATACAGCATATTCTTTATTTAATTGCCGACATACGCGGCACCACTAATTGCTACGTGCACTTCAATATTCTTCATAAATTAAAAAAAATAAAAAAACATGATTATTCAACTGTAAGAATAATACTTAAAAATTTCTAGATAAAATGTAACATACAAATGAACCACTTCTGTGTCTATCATGCGATTATGAAACATCAGCATATTCTTGGGAAATGTTACACTCCTGTACTTACATTTGCACATGACAAGTAATACAATGCATAAGTCACGTAACCCCTTACAGTACCGCCTGCTCAAAACACCACACTGTGAGTGAATCGAGCAATTTGTTACGAATTAATTGAGCAAACAAACATTATATAAGGCTTTTGAAGTCATGAACATTTTTGTGTCAGTTCAAAATGTGTTCAGATACACTCATTTTGAGTAAATAACATACAGAATTTCAAATATATTAATATAAAAGTAGTATTACTTCAAAAGAAGAAAGATCAGGTAAATGTTTCTTAGGACATGGAACCGCAATCTAATATCGTAGAAACTCTCTGTTAAAGGAATACAAAACGAGCTCTTTATATTCAGAGAAGTAAATGTATTTGTTGATGGCTTAATGACACACAGCCAATGCCAAACGTGTATGCGCGACTGTGAAACCAAAGCAGGCATCACGAGATACCCGCAAGAGTAAAACAGTTTCAAATCTTCACATCTCATCAAGTCTTCTTCAATGTTCGGCCTAACATTTACACATATCTGAAATGTATTAATTTAAGATACAATTAAGTTTCACAGTAATTTATTTGTAAAGTTCACATACACATTTTATGGATATTTATCTGAATACGTAACCGTCCTAAATCTGGCATCGTATTCTATGTAGCTCTGCCCATGTACAAAGAATCAATGCAACATGTCACCTGCCACTTCAGCCTATCCTCGCCAAACAGACGCATTAATTAATGATAATGAACTGCAGCACGACAATCAATAACAGCAGTAATGATGATAATAATAATAATAATTCATCATCAGTTGTGAAGCGCCTGCATGGAAAACGGGTGAACTTTTGGAACCCTATATCATTAAATGTGACAAGCTTCAAAAAACAATAAAATAACTTCATTCAATTTTGGTATAATCTTTAT